GACTTCCTTAAGCAATCTATGTTAAAAAAAAAAAAATCCTCCATCCACCCTTCCCAACAGCCAGCATTCTCTATCCACCTTTACCTGCCTTTTTTCTCTCCACAGAACTTAACGCCTTGTATATGTTGTCCTAACTCTCCCAACTAGAATAAATATCCCAAGAGAAAGATGCTTAATGGCTATATTCACTGTTGGATACCCAACATCTGGAAAGGCACCAGGCACAGAATGAGTGCCTAAAACTACGTGAATGAATGAAGGAAGGAATCCATAAAACCAGTATTAGAAGAAGTGATCCCTAAGATCTCATTCAGATCAGCATTTTTTTTATAGGCACATAGAGGAAAAAAGTGTGGCATTAGTACTATCATAAATTCAGGTATCCACTTGGAGCACATCTCCTGTAGGTAAGAGGGAACTATTATAATATAAAAATATTTAAAAGTGGTCATTAAAGTACTAGCAGTTGTCAAAGTATTCTTTAGGTGTAAAAGTGTAAAGAAAGCTACTTTATGTATTTAATATCATTCTCCATTGTAGAGAGGAGCTTGCATTCTCTATTCAGTTATGCAAACAGTTTTCCTTCTAGTATCCCATTTTATATCTGGCACATGAAACTGGAAATCTTTTCAGAGGAAGTTCATGATGTTTATTTTTATTTATTTATTTATTTTTTTGCACGCACTTAGTTTTTAATGTGGGCAAGAAGAAAATAAAATACATGTTATTTAGGGGAAACAAAGCTTTCCTTGTCACGTCACTCTGGACACGATATCTTACATGGGGTACTTGCACCCCAAGCCTGGTGGTCAAATGTGGCCGTGAGGCTGTCACTCTCTGGTTCTGTTCCAGTGGAGCCACTTCCTTCTCTCATATGATATGTCAAGAAATTTGTAATGTTTTGAACAACCAACAATAAAAAATTAAAGAAAAAAAAAACTAAACAAACACACACAAAAAACAAGAACCTGATAGTAGAGAAGGAAGTGGCTCAGATCAGCTTTTTGATGATTTGGTACAGCTAATAAGTACTTATTACTTCTCATTTATGATTTGAAAATGCATAAAATAAAATCACTATGGTAAGAAATTTCCTGGATTGAGCTGATCAATTATAATAGCTAACATTTTTTAGTTCTTCTGATGTGCTATAAATGAGCTTGTTTATTCTTCGATAAATCCTTGTGAAACAGATATTATGTCTATTGTTCAGATGCAAAAATTTTAAAAAAGGAAAGATTAGCACCTAGTTATGGTCACAGAGTAACTGGTAAAACTGGGGCTTGACCCCACACACCAGACTCCAGACTTTTAATTCTTTAACATGCCATCTCCCATGTGATACACAAATAATCATCTCTTAAAGTCAGTGCTACATTTTTTTAATTAAGTTCAAGTTAATTTTCTAATTATACTTAACAGTGGGATATATTGTGACATATTTGTATGTGTACATAACATAATTTGGTCCATTTAATTCCTCAGTGCGTCCTTTTTTCCTATCTTTTCTCTCCCTGGGTCCCCTTTTTCTACTTATACCTGGTCTCCATTCAATTATATATTTAAAACATAACTAGTATCTCTCTTCTTTCTTAATATACTCTGCTTTAAAATATTTTATTCAAGTACATGTTTTAGATATGGATATTGCAAAAATTAATTTTATGAACTATATCCTGTTAGTAGGTGATATTGTGCTGGGCATGGTGGTGCATGCCTGTAATCCTAGTGGCTCAGGAGGCTGAGACAGGAGGATCTCCAGTTCAAAGCCAGCCTCATCAATGGTGAGGTGCTAAACAACTCAGTGAGACACTGTCTCTAAATAAAACACAAAATAGGGCTGATGATGTGGCTTAGTGGGTGAGTATTCCTGAGTTCAATCCCTGGTACCCCCCCAAAAAATTTTATTCAAGTGCATGTTTTAGACATGGATATTGCAAACATTAGTTTTATGAAATATAACCTGTTATATTTTGTAAGTGACATTGTAAGTAATAGAAATAAAAACAGGTATAAATCCCTGACATTTTTTTTCTTTTAGCTCAGAAATGGTTTGCCCTTCTCATTCATCTTTGATATATATTTGGTTTGTTAGAAATCATAAAGTCACTACAACTACTGGAGTTTCCATCATCACCAGGGAATTATAAACCCTTTGACCGTGATGTGATGTCAGATTACAGATGGGGAGCTATTCCCTTGTTTTGTGATTATCTTCTCTCTAGCTTTGATATTCTAGTGATGAGTCCTGATCATGTGTTTTCATGTAAACCTGTTTTGTTTGGGAAGGGAGCCAGGGGTTCTGTTCATAGGGAAAGGGGAGGGGGAGGGGGCCACAGGAACCAGAAGTGGGGCTCTGATATGGGGTCAGTAGAGGAACTTGCTAGCATGAAGCAAAGGGGAAGAAGAGAGCTGAAAAACTCTTCATAAAAATTACCATTTATTCTACTGAAAACCCTTTATATATTCATTTATCCACAACCCTATGATGGGTGCACACTGATTTTTCGGAGGAGGCTCAGCAGCACTCAACTACATACACTACTACCTGATCTTCATCATATTCTTTAAAGCCAAATCAAGAAACTACCTGTGAAGAAGGGTCAGGATACCCCAGGCAGCATGTTTCAAGCAACACAGGTTTCAGCTAACGTAGCTATGCATGGAATTAAAACCACATGGTCAGTGAAACATGCCTATAAATCTTTACTTCTGAGAATTCAGATTATTTGAATTCATTCTTGAGCAGTAGGAGGTTGTAGGGTCTTTATATAACTACTATTTTACCCAATCACTTAGTGGAATTCACATTTCAGTTTGAATTAAGACTGAGAGAGGAAAAAATGTCAAATTCAGTACATTAAACCCCTTCTAAAACAGCATAAAAAGAAACCCTCAAAGACAGTGTATTGGCCAATGCAAGGAATAGTGGCTCCTTTGAAGAGTGACTGATGGACTAGACAACCAAAGAAATGTGTGAGAAATTACCTGGTAAGGGAGAGGGGAATTTAAGCAAGTGATTCCACATGGGAACAAAAATATCTTTGTTCTTTGAAACGGAATTATTCTGGTAAAACTGAAGTAATGTAAATTGCAGTTAATTCTTTTCCAAACATCGCTTTTGTCCATTTTCTCACTTCAACAAATGGAGTGTACTTCTCCAGTGGGGATTGGGGAGGGAGGCCAGCAGTCAGGACCTGACCCCAGACTGATGTGTGGAGTGGCTGAAGTCAGTGTTTCATGCACCAAGCACTGTCCTTACCTGAAACATGGAAAAAAAAAAAAAGATGCTTCCGCCAGACCTCTGTTTTTGTTGCATATTCACTTCAGATGGTCTTTAAAACAAAGTACCAATTTAAAAACTCTCAAGGACTTGAGGACCTGTCGAATACTGACTTTTCTGCAGGAGTCTGGTTCTCTAGACAGCTGAGAAGTGCAGAGAGGTAGAACTAGGCAGGAGTCACAGCTAAGCCTGAATTCTACAAAGTAGGAAGGTTTTCATAGTAAACCAACCAGAGGCCAAAGCAGCAAGTGGCACAGCGTCACAGGGCAGTTGTATGCACCCCTGCTGGCATGGAAAGGTTTGTTCCTGGCAATTCTTTCTAGGGGAGGCAAAGAGCCAATAAAGCTTTTTGAATACTGCTCATCTGTCATTTTCAGCTGTCTCCTGTTACATTATAAGCAGCAGGCCTGCTTGCAGCCCCATCTGTAGCAGGCCAGCTCCCCAGCTCCATGGGTCAGTCACATGAGGGCTGGCGGGGGCCTTAGCAGGAAGTCTTTGAGCTTGCAGTCTCAAATTCTCCCTGCCCTAGGCAAGTGGAGACCTATGTGCAAATGTGAAGAACAGGAGGTTTCCAAGGTTCAGCCAGATGACAGATGATGAAATGAGGGTTGACACAGGGCCCAGGGTGTTGAAGTTAACAGAAAAAAGTTATTGGGTCAATGCTTTTTAGTGATGTTGCTTTTTTTTCCCCATAATATTCTGGCTTGGAGCAGAGTTCTGGAGGAATCTCCCAATAAGCTCAAAGGTTAGTAGATGGTAGTCACTTCCAGGGTGGCACTGTTCAAATCAGATGTGGCCCTGTCTGAATAGAAAGAAGTATGGAAAAGGGAATTCCCTTATTTTTTGCAGATAGAAATGATTTGTCTGCTATTTTGGGAAGGGTGGAGGGTGGGAAGATTCTGTAATTATTGACAGTTTCACATCTAGTTCTAGGTACTAATTCAGAAGAGTGCACTGGTGTAATGGGTGATGATTCACATGACAGAGATTGGGTGGAAATGAGGATATTTTGTTTCAAGCTCCCTGAAGCCATGCGTGAGGAGATGAAGATACATACTCCTGTGCCTGATGCCTCTCGGGCTATCTTTCCTCACTTCTGATGCATAAAACTTAACTGCCTTTATGATGGACATGGAGAAATTTTCATTAAAAGTGAGCATGAATAGGAAGCTGACAGTCCAGAAACAAAGTTGGCCTTAGATTTGCAAAACAATTTCAATGTTTTGAAATTGTAAGAGCTGATGGTAAGAGCTCTCCTAGACAGAACACAGTCCAGGATCAGACATGTTATTACTTCATTCTTGATTTACACAATCTACAGATGCAAAACATAACTAAAAAGTAAGCTGGGGGGAAAAATGAGTATTTAGACTCTTTAGCCAGAAATATACTTTGGCCTTAATGTTGGTATTAGATATATTTAACATTAGGAATAACTGCAAAGTGATGGGCATGGTGGCTCATGCTTGTAATCCCAGTGATTCAGGAGGCCAAAGCAGAAGCCCAAGTTTAAAACCAGCCTTAGCAACTTAGTGGGCCCTGTCTCAAAATTAAAAAGGCTGGGGAGGTGGCTGAGTGGTCAAGTGCCCCCGGGTTAAATCCCCAGTACCTCCCCAAAGAATAAATGAAAAGTTATTTTTAAAAAATTCTCATTTAGTTTTACCTCAGTGAGGGGCAGTCATTCAGGAAGTAAACTCCAGCAACATGACACTTGGAGTGCATTAAATAAATATAAATTTTATTAAAAACACTCACATAGCGTTATCAGGAATGATATAATAATAAACAGCTTTCAAATAACCTGCATTCATAACATTACAATACTTACAGTATTTATAACCATCCTCAGATTTTATAAACAAACCAAACATCTCATGAGAATGAAATAACTACATTAAAAAAATAAAGCATAGAAAAATGCACACAGAAGTTCATTATCTTAGTGTCGAACTGCAAAAATCTCCTACACAAGTTAACCACTAGCTTTAGAAGTGAACTGTACATCACTGTGCGTCAAATCAAGATGAAAAATTCATTCAAGTAAAGTTGACACCACTCAGAAGCATTTTCAAGTATGGCTATATAGTCAACCTGATATTCCTATAAGCAAATTGTAGATCTGCTTTCCATTCATTCTGAGGCAGGTTTGATATTTACAATGATAGATCTGGTATTTACAATATGCCACTTAATTTTCTCTCTTCCTAACTTCTTTCCAACCTCCCCCAAATATTTTTACTGCTCTTACTGGCCAGCAGTTTGACAAATGACAGTGGATGATATAGAATATTTGTTCATTAGGGATGGCTGACTCAGAATCACCAAATGCACATGCAGTAACCAAATGTTCTGGGTTAAATATTATGGTATATGTAAAACATTAAATATGTGGTGCACAGCAAACATTTTTAAAATGCTTGAGCAATTTATTTTAAAAACAAAAATCAAAAAGGTTTCAAAAAACCCAAAGTCTCCACTGATTAAAGATTTGACCAGTAAAACCCAAGTCTCTATTGATTAAGAATTTATTTGAAAAGCTAATAAACAAACGTGTTTAGACTGAAATGCAATTGTACAGTCCTATTGCACATCATACCTCCAGATGTCAGGCATGTATGGGAGTCCTCATGGAGTATGTACCTGTTTGATTACAAAATCATAAAAGCTTTATCGAGAGTTAAAATACTATGGCCAACAGCCACTTGCCAAACTCCTGCCTTACAATTTTCCCTTTATCAGCTCAGTGCATTCTATTTTCATTTTTTTTCCCTCCTCAAACAGTCAAAAGTCCTCCAACTTTTAAAATGCTTTTCTTTACAATTAAAAGCCAACAGATTTACAAAATTAGTTTTACTTACATCAGTATATATACAAGTAAAATAGGAGGGATTCAAAATAAAGGGTTAAATCCCTGAAAAAAGAATATATTTATTAACCTATAACAATTTTACATAAACACAGGTGACACATTGGCATAAGGAGAACATGAGCTGAAATTTCCCTGAATTTTTAGAACAAAAAGGTTGAAGTTCAAGTTACACTTGCTAAGAAATCAAGTATTGAAAAAAAAAGGTATGTTTTTTAACAATTAAAAAAAAAAAGACTTGGAAAAAAATGATGGTACACAATGCTATTAAGCTTTCACTCTCAGTTCAATATCCTATTGCCAAACTAGTGTTGAGGTATATGACAAGTAGGAACATCACTCAAACCTTTAATGAATTCTTCGCTCACATTATGATATATTTGTAGCAGGCTGAATAGCACCATCATGATGTGAATTCTGCTTCAATGCCATATATATAGATATATATGTATATATTTAAATTTTTTACAGTACTAAAATACTAAAGCATTGTTAAAAAAGTTTTGTTTACAATTTAATTTACTATACAACTCTTTCTTCTTTATACAAATTAATGATTTTAAAACCACCACAGCAAACCAGCTGCCTGTTTATCTTTTTAACCAACAGATTCACGTGGAACTAACCCTGCTTATTCATCTTCTACAGGCATCAGTCCACTCAATCTTCCTTGGAAAGGAGGACACGCTAAGAAATGACAACATCACAAAGTACATAATCAGACACAAAGGCAGACTGCCATTTAGTACTCTGAAGAGCATATAGATCCATAAAATAGCATAGGTTGAAGTGTACAAGCTTTGCTGAATCGGTAGCATGCGGCTAATTGTTACCTGCAGTTAACAGAAAATCATTAAAACTGTACATATTTGAGCAATGACCTTGTCATATAATTCTGTGTAAAACTGTTTTTACAGTATAGCATGTGAGATGAGCACCAGGAAACACATGTTTTGTGGACTAATATATTACCTTGAATCCAGTAAGCCTCATTTTGGATTTAACTGGCTGTGTTAAAAATGAACACATTGCTCATCAGCAGATGCATGGCTAAAAGCAAAAATGTTTTAAAAGCTCTCCTTTATTTCCTTTAAAAAAAATCAACTTTTCATACTAAAATGAAAGTAAACTATATTTTTAAAATGTCTCCGTACCTTAGCATTGTTCAAGTTGCCAAAGCTTAGGTAGACAAAGTGCTTCTAAAACACCATTTAAAATATTTATACATATACATGTATGTGCACATATACAAAGGTGTGTGCATATATGTACATATATACGTTTACTGTCCTACAAGGACGTCACTGGATGAGCAAAATCCAGAGGCCATTAAAATGTCCACATCTTAAAAACTAAGCTTTGTGTAAGAACAAGTAATTATGATAAAAACTTGAATGAAAGGTGCCCCTTCTTTAAGGGCACTGGAGTACACTGATAGCATCTTGATGACATAAAGGCATTAAAATTTTAGCTATTAAAGACACCATTTTCTTAGCACCATTTCGTAGAACATCCAAACAAATTCAGTGTTTTGCTGCTAATCATTTACACTTCCTGTAGCTATTTTGATAAATAAAAGTTAATTACAGTAAAAACTGCATGTTAAAAAGTCATAATTCCAGTATTTCAGTACATTGTGTATTCAGCACCAGATGGTATTTTAAGATTCCTACAACCGTAATACTACAGTACTTGTTTGTGTTCCATGACTATGCAAACTTGGTATTATTAAAAGTGGTCACAGATGTGTTAAATTATAAGAGAGGGGAAAAGAAAAGCACATTTTACATATCATCTCATCCAATAATAGAACCAGTGTTTAAAAATGTAAATTGTGGAACACTTCCTTCCCCACCTTCTTTTTGCATAGAATGCTTTGGTCTTTTTCCTGGATGCCATCTGTGACCACCTGGGAGTCTGCTGAAATTAAGTGCTATGGTAAGATGACCTTTTTTATTTTTGCTGGTGAGTGGAGGTTTTTCCCACCGCATTTGTCATGAATACTGTGACCTTTCCCCACTGCCACGTCACGAGAGCTACACTACTGACAAATATGTTGTGGTCTATCCAAACGAGGTTATCAACAAAAAGGACATCATCATATGTATCTGTTATAAGGCCCTGTGACCCGAGTGAAGGCATATGGAGATGTAGTTATTGTGGAGTCTGTGGTCCCAGATGTGGTCTTTTCAGCAAGGGACTTGATGAAGCGCAGGTAAGTAGGCTCGGAAGGCTCATGCGGCTCAGTGGGCTCCCGTTTCACTTTTTTGCCATGGGTTTTCTGAGGCACGTAGTCCGGGCCATACTTCTCACACTCCTCTTCTTTCTCACGGGCTTTTTCTGCCATTTTGGCCTCCCAGAGAGCCAAGCCATGTTTTGGCTCATTCATGCTCTTGTGCTGGTAAAAGACAAGGGAGATCCTAGTGGGGTGCATCCTATTGGGATTCTTTAAGGGGGTTGTGGCATGCAGCTCACGCTTTGCACACTCGATGAGAATTGACCCATGAGTCGGAGCCACAGCCACTCCCCCAATGTCAGGATCCAGAAAGCACTGCTCACTGTCTGACCAGACCTCTTCCTCCTCCTCTGCAGTAGAAGCCGCTCCCTGGACTGGTGTGGCAGGCTCCTTCTCCTGACTGTTAGCATCACTTAATTTGTGTAATACACCTTGGACAGAAGCAGTTCTATCATGGTTAAGCCCTGGAAGCATCTTAGCTAGACCATTAGCTGTGTGGGAAAGCACGTCATTCTCTTTGTTTTGGAGATGCAGGGTGTGAATAGAGCTGTTGATCATGTTTGAAGCTGCATTGTAGTTATGGATTATGTGAGAAGGTGGATGATGTTCACCGCTTTTACAGTCTATGTTTGGATTGCTCAGATTAGGTGGTAATCTAGAGGCAGCACCCATGAAGTGGCCCTCCATCTCGTGAGTGGAATAAGGAGGAAATGACCCTACGTGGTGTACATTTGGTCTAATGGTACAACTGCTGAAAGTATCTCCCTGCATATTTTGGTTTCCATAACCTAAGTACTTAGTGGTAAAACTCTGGCTATTTCCAAATCTGTGCTGGTAAAGTGTATGGATGGGTGGCAGATTCAGCTTAGAGAGATGGTCTTGGCTTGGATACCTATACAGATCCATTGGCTGAGACTGGGGAGAATAGGAACCCAGATAAGGGGAGCAGTTGTCCATTGACACATTTCCATTGCACTGATAGGATGGATATTGGTTATTTGGATTTAAAAGTCCAGGGTAGGGGTTCATGGGATTAGAAGAACTCAAATATGAACTTGCAGCTTGGGATGAGGTGGAATAGAGATTCATAGCGTTGGTGCCTCCATAAATCTCCGAAGTATGTGAAGAGCTTGGGTAAGGATTGATGGGATTGGGCCGTCTCATGTATAGATTGGTGGGTCCAGATGACGAGTAAGAGCTGACAGACTCTGACTGAGGGTGATTATTCAAGGTGTGGTGGGGCTGCTGCGGCTGCTGATGAGTGTGCTGGGGCTGCTGGGGTCGCTGCTGCTGTTGTTGGGATTGGGGCTGCTGGGACTGCTGCATGACTGGTCCTGAAAGTCGCAAAAGTTCTGTGGAGAAGGTAAGAGAGCAGGAACAAATGCTCCATTATTATTTTATGAAGGCTAATGAGGAAACTTAAGTGTACAAGAAGAGAAAGCCCACCAGGATTATAAAACCCCTGTTCATCAAGGGCTTAACCCTAAAGCAAAGTCAGGAGTTCTCATCACTGGCATAATCTTTTATGTCTAAAGCATTAGAAATAAAATGCAGAACTTTTAACTTGTACGGTTTTGTAAGTAAAGAGATATATAATAAACATCTAAAGGTATTCCATGGAGAGCATCCTATCCTCTGGAGTTTCTCAACAGCTGTTATGAAGTATTCTCCTCCCTACCCACTTTAGTCATCCCTACCTCAAGACAGATCTGAGATCTCACCTTCTAGTGCTTTTGTAAAAACCCACTGCAAATGTGGGTCTGATGAAGCAGGAGTCACAATGCATTATAAACCATCTGTTTTTAGCACTCTCTCACCACCTCTACTATGAACCAAAGTCCTGCAGGGAAGGGAACATGTCTTATTTTACTTCTTTCTTCACATTGCCTAGTATGCACTAGAATTTGTATATTATTAAAATAAAATTTGTTTTAGAAGATTTATCAATCTTAGGAGACAAACAATGACATTCGTTCAAAGGTAAAAAGTATCTTATATAATTGGCCAGCCCTACTCCATGAGTAGGTAGGTATTCCAGAAAGGAAATTTGTATCATGGTAAATAATACTTTAATGAACTTTCAGCTTTGTAAGTGAAACTTTTAAGTCATACTTCTGTTTTAGGACCTTATTCTACAAAAGTCATCTAAGTTGACAAATAAATGGGACTGCAGTGATACTTTTGAGAGCTGACCTATTATTATCTGCAAAAAGCAGAAAGAACCAGAGACAAAGTTTTATCTGGTTATATTTTACAATTAACCTAAAGGAGATATCAGGTAGTAAACAAAATTGAGTTTTTCATGTAAATTAACCAATCAAGAAACAGTTATTAAGCATCTTTAGCATAGTGTTATAAATAGTTTCTCTGGACTTGGAAATGAATCACTAGGGAAATTTGACTTTATGAAGCAAAGATAGTGGTTCTAAGCAAACTGCTACACTAAATTTAAGACATTTTTGTTTGGTTGCTATTATTAATGGCCAGACCAATACCATTTCCAAAATTTGGAATTTTTATTGTACAAACTATAGACATGAAGCAAGGGGCTACGGAAAGAAAGTATCCACTTAGTATTGATGAATGATCCTCTATTGCTATTACTATTCATGTAACCTCTTCTGATGGCAAAGTTTTTTTTAGAATAGTTACATGTAGGACCCCAACTAAACCAGACTCACTATGGCTAAGGAAAAGTATTAATTTCTCTCTTAATCATATCTTCAAGCCTATTTTAATAAGTAGTTTTAAGTCATCCCTTAAATTTTTCTTGTCCTTCATTCCAATGGTTTGTCCCTAATGTATCTAACACCTCCCCCGCCATTTTAGAAGAATTGCCTTGCATCATTTTTGCTGCTACCACTAAAATTTAAGGTCTTGTTACCTCAGTCTTGGTTTGTGATACCTATCTCCAAACATTCTAAGTTGGCTACTGGCTACTGGTCAAGCAACTTGAATTTTACCATATCACTATTGGGGAAACAAAACAAAACAAAACAAAATTTTGCTGTTTATTGTAGAATAAAATCTTATCAAGGGGGGGGGTTGATGGCAACTCCCTGCCATTTCCATGAGTAAAGCCTGCCCCTGAATACTTCAGGAATGATTCTGGTAGGGAAACAGGACCATGAGGGATAACATTCCCAACTGACAAGGTCCATGTTTAATCCAAGTATCACACAGAACAGATACCCACAAAACTTCTAATTAAGCTTACCTGTCAACTGCTTCGTCTGGTTTGTACTTTCTGTGTGTTTTGTGCGTGATGAGGCCACCTTTTCCTTTTCATTCTTATTCGAGTTGTTCTCCAGAGAGGAAAGCTTTTCGGCAGCAGCTTTCTTGGCTTCCAGTTTCCTCTGTCGGCAAGTCTTGACCGGCTCTGCTAACATCCTGACCTTCCGCCGAAAAGAACTCAGTACCTGAATGGCACCATTTCGTTTTTTCTCCTCCTGACCTTCTACACTCCCAAACTCATCTATATCAGAGATTTTATATAAAGGCAATACGTGGAGCTGTTCATCCTCAGGATGTACTCCAATTTGTCGATTGTCTTCTCTAGTGAGCGTGCAGACCTGGTAGGAGAAAGACATTACAGCCTCAGTTCTAGGTCCCAGAGAAAAGTGTGTGTGTGTGTGTGTGTGTGTGTGTGCGCGCGTGCGCGCGCCTCAATATGTAGATCTGTGCTCATCAGGGACATGCACATTGCCATAAACCCTTGTTTCTGTTATGAAGCAGTGCCATCCCACCAAATAAAATGAAGTAATTTGCTTCCCGTACTTCAAAAAAGAGGGGATAGAGATGAAGTTTCTTTCAAAAGTCTAAAAGCTGTTCCTACCTAACACCCTACTCTGATGTTGGTAGGAGCACAGTTGCCTCATCTTATACTTTTGTACCCAAAGAAATTTCATATCTTTTCTCATACCCAATTCCTAACTCTGTTTAAGAAATCCACTGTGTTCAAAAAATGTCTTCAAAATATCTAGGTGAGATTTAAATAATGAAAAGTTGAAGATTTGGCCGGTAGAGATTACGTGCCACATAACACTTTTCTTTCTTCTGTACTCTGTCAAACCTAACTTATTGTTTCTTTTTCCTCCCTGTTTTTCTGAAATATTACCACATAAAAGTGAGTACTCTGAAGAGGAAAAAGAAAACAAAAGCTGCCTCTTTTGCTTTGATTATTGGGATGGTATTTTTTTTTTGTTTGTTAGTCATCGTCATTTGGTTTTGAGGAAAGATTATCTGTTTTAAAAATACTAGTTTTTTTTTTAAGGTATTTAGTGTTTTCTATCAATGGAGAAAATAACAATGGAAGGACAAGGTAGTATGAAATCACTGGAAGATACCCCTGAAAGGAATGTGATCCTAACAGCCTGCTCTTTATAAATACCTGTAACATGAGATGGTACATTGAGCTTTTCCAAATTCATGTCTAAGCACCTTGTTACTAAGCACCTCGTCACACATATTGAATCCTTACTCAGTTTTTATCTGGTGCTTCTTTCTGTTTCATCTCCTATATCCTGTGATTTATCAGAGGCAAATCCCCTTGGATTCTAAGCATCCTTCTTGACTTCGCAATCCCTCGCCCTGCTGGAATGCAACATGGCTACCTTCAGGACCTACTACAGCAGCACTTCCTAACAAGCAGATTCTCAATGCATGATGAATGATGATTTTAGATGTTAGGGTGGTTCGCAGGCCTTGTGTTTATTCTTCTGGGTCAATACTCAGAAAATTAGGGCCTGTGGTTAATCTGCTTTGCAGCAGGTTTTTAGATGACTAGCAAACTAAGAACAGCTTTTACATTTTCAAAGGGTTAAGTAAAAGTATCCTTTGAAATAAAGAGTGTAACAGATGTGACCTGTAGAGTCTAAAATACTGACCATCTTTGCCCTTATAGACTACTAAACCTATACTTTTCTGCTCAACAAAAACATTGCACCAGCTTCTTCAAATTATTTCAGTTATCAGATACTACTTAGCTATGTGCTTTTTTCCACCCTAAAAAGAACTTCAATGCCTGTCATCTACTTTTCGTCTGAAATTTCACTGGTCATCATCCTTAATTATACCCAAAACCATGTAAATGGTACATTAGGTAGATTAATTAATTAATTATTTTTTAAAGGTAGATTAATTAATAACTTTGATTTCTTCACCTGAATTCCCTCCTGTCCCCCAGCACCTGTTTACTTGCACCTTGGATTGACCTTTTAGAGGTGAGGCAAAATATGGGACTTTGTCAGTATGGAGCACTGCTGTGCCTGAAGACCTTATCCATGCCTTCCCCTCATCACATTCTCCAGAAACAAGACCTAGTCATCCCACACACTGGAATATGTAGTAATAATGAGCTCTTCCACACTCTTGAATGTGGGATAGTAGACATTTTGACAATGATGATGTCTTTTTAATCTGTACTTCTCTCTGTGATGTGAACTAGTACCTTGGCCCACCAAGATTTATCTTACATACCAGGTAACTGAAATTGAATTTTGAAAATATTGTCTTGGTGGCTAATTGGAAATGGCAGTGTATAGACATGGTTTAAATCAGCATGAAGATTTCGAAAATTCTCACGTGCCTGCCAATGGCTTTCCACTAATGTGCCAATCTGTTCTGAGAGTGCTAATTATGCCAAAGCGTACCCTGCAATTGCAGTTCATGAAAACACCTACGGAGAACATACTCTGCTGACCAAGTGCTACCAGCATACTCCACTTTAACAAGAGGTGCTGCTAAGGGGATCTCAGCAATACTTACCACTGTGCTGCCATTCTGCATGTTGTGCAAATCTCTATGGGCGTGAGCACAGAAATCCAAACATGCGGTGACCCCTGAGAATGGACGGCCTTCCTTCAGACCCAGACGGCACTCTGGAGCTCTGTGTTCATATTCAATCTGAGAGAAATAAAAGTGTGTATTGTGCATGGAGAAATACTTAGTTTTACTCTTAGATGAAAACATTCCTTAGTATTTAGGTTATTTAGATATTTAAAAATGTTTTGTACCTTACATCCAGAAATAAAATGGAATGACTCAAAACAGAACAAATACCTAGACATAACGTTTTTATTTTATGGTGTTATTAGGGTATGATCAACATACCATTTGTTTTTGGCATGCTGGGGATCATGATGGGAACTGAACACAGGGCCTCCTACATACCAGGCAAGCATTCTACCACTAAGCATATCTTAAGAAGCATATATAAGGTATAATTTGATAATGTTCAATATATGCATACATTCACATAATCATTGCTATATAAAAAGTACATACACATTAGTCCCAAATTTCTTCATGCCCCTCTGGAAGTTACACCTCCTGTTTTGTTTGCAGATAACAATTGATCTGCTTTCTGCCTGCCCCTACACAGTAGTGGGCCTACTCTTAAACTCTTGCAGTTCTGACCTGCTGGTATATAATGGCGTGGGTGTGTGCACACGTGCCAATATCAAACTGTTTTTAATACTACTAAGTACAGATTTTTAATAAATCCTGAAATCAAGCAGGATACATATTAAAATTGTGTTTTGTTTGCTCATACACACATGAATAAACAACAGTCAATTCCTTCAAAAAGCCCTCAAATTTTGATAGGTCATGTATTGAACCCATTAGTTCGGGGAGAACTAAGATCTTGACAATATTTGCTCTTGTTTTCTATGAACATGGTATATCTCTCCAGTTATTTAGGTCTTTTATAAAATTTATCTCTGTAATTTTTTGTAGTTTTCAGTACACAGATCTTAGAAATTTTTGTCAAATTTATGCCTAAGGATTTAATATTCTTGATACAATTGATTGTTACTGATTATTTTTACATCTATTTTTAATGATTACTAGTAAACAAAAAATTTTTGCATTCTACAACTTGGCTGAATTTCTAAGTTGTAGGAGTATTCTGTAGATTGAGACATTCTCAGTATATAAGATGACCATGTGTAAATAAGTACAGTTTTATTTCTTCTTATCTGTATGCTTTTGATTTCTATCTCCTGCTTTATGGTACTGTCTAAAATTTCCAGCTTATATTAAAAAGAAACGATAAATATGTTTTCTTATTCCTAATATTAGTGGACAGCAATCTTTCATACTTGAAATTTGTAGGATGAAACTATAACACATTTAGAGATATTTGTAGCACTTAGATATTATGACGTATAATATTAGCTGCTGCGGCTTTTTTAATCCATGCTCCATTTTAAGGTAGAAAAAGATCCCATCTATGAATGTTTAGTATTGTCAAATGCTTCTTCTGCCACCCCTCCCCCCCAATAGGAACTGAACTCAACACCTCGGCTGGTCTCTAACTTGCAATCCTCCTGCCTGAGCCTGCTGAGTAGCTGGAATTACAGGCATGAGTCACCACATCTGGCCTTATTATCTCTTTTATATACCATTTGACCCCATTGACTAAAATTTAGGAACTTTTACATTAATATTTGTAAAAGCACTGAACCATAACTTTTTTTTAAATTCCCTTGTCTAGTTCTATTCATATTTTTAGCTTCACAGAGTGAGTTGGGAAGTGTTTACATCTTTTCTAGTTTCTGTAGAATTGGCATCGTTTCCTCCTTAAATACCAGGTTAATTTTGCCAAGTAGACTTTGAGGTCTAGTGTTTTCTTTGTGGGAAGGCTTTTAACTACAATTTAAACCTACTTAATAATCTATGACTATTCAAAGTTTCATGGTGCCCCCTTTTTTAATGTTTCAAAATTTATGTCATTAAAGGACTTTTTCATATAATTTGCTCGATTTATCAGTATGGTTTTGCTAATATTTCTTCTTTTAATGTTTAAGGATCTTTGCTCTCCAACCGTCTTCCCAACTCCCCCACCCAGTGTTGGGGATCAAACCCAGGAACTCTTGCATGCTTGGCAAGCTCTTCACCTCTGATCTAAATGTCCAGTTCTCCAATTATTGATACTGGTAATTTATTCCATCTTTTATTTGGGGGGCGGGGGTAGTCAAATTGTTTCAAAGTTCTTTGTTTCTCATATTCTAGGTTTTTATTTATTTATTTAGTATTTTATATTACAAATTTCTCATTTTTTCCCCTTCTTTTAGGGCTAAAAAGTTTCCTAGGGTAGATGTGTAGATTGACTTGATAGTTTACATTTTTTTTTCTAGTATGTGTTCAATGCCATAAATATCTAAGTAAGTCTTTAGAGTTGTATCCCACAAATTTCAGTATAATTTCTTCATTTTCATTCCATTCAAAACATTTTGTTTTCCAATATCTGTGGTATTCTTTGGGCCCATGTTCTTTGGAATCATGCTGCTCAGTTTCTAGACATTTAGGCATTTTTGTGGATATACTTCTGGTACAGATTTTCATTTTACTTCACTGTAGTCAGAGAACATATCTGAGACATTAAAATCTATTGATGGGCTAGAGTTGTGACTCAGTGGTAGGCATGTGTGAGGCCCTGGGTTCAATCCTCAGCACTACATATAAATAAACAAAAGATTCATTAACAACTAAAAAAGAAATATTAGAAAAATCTATTGATAACTGTTTTATAAACCAGAATATGGTCTACCTGGAAAGGCTAATATAAAATATCAATTCTGATTTGAGGTTGGAGCTCTATACACGGTACTGGGTCAAGTTTATAAAGAGTTTGTCTTCTGTTCCTTTCATGCTTTTCTTTAAACTTTTTTTTCTACTAGTTGTTGAGAGAGATACATATCCAAATCTATTTGTTTTTTCTATTTCTTTTGTTAGCTCTCTTAATTTTTTAATGTAAATTTTGAAGCTGTTATTAGCATGTAAGTATTTGAAATTATGCTTTTGATGAACTGACCCTTTTATTATTATTAAATAATATTCTTTTTCCTTGAATTATTTTTGGCTTTGAAATCCACTTTATCTATTTGTTTTACTCCATCAGTTTTAATTAATGTTAACATGGTGTATTTTTACCATCCTTTTAATTTTATATTTAAAGTGGCTTCCTCAGCTTTACCTTTTAAATAGGGGTGCTAAAAGCATTTACATTAAGAAAGGTTATTAATATGGTTGGTTTTATATACCATCTTGCTATTTGTCTTATTCTCTCTCTCTCTCATACACATACCTTTATTTATTTATTTTTTATGTGGTGCTAGGGATTGAGCCCAGTGCCTCACACAGGATAGGCAAATGCTCTACCACTGAACCACAACCCCAGCCCTGGACCATACTTTTTGCACTTATGACAGTCTATGGTCAAGTAATTTACCAAGCTGCATAATAAATAATATAATAAACTACCAATTCCAAGATTCTGTGCTGCTTCTGTATTTGTGAATTCAATATAGGTTGTGAATATTTTAAAATAGCAAGTTATGAAGATATTTTTAAGTTAAGAAAAAGTTCTTTTTTCACATGTTTAGCATTTCTAATACCTTTCATTCCTTTTTGGTAGATGTGTATTTCTATTTTGTTTTCTTTCTGTTGAAGGATTTAACATATTTAAATGATAGTTTGCTAGTGCTGATTTTTTTTCAGCTTTTATATGTATGAAAAAAATTGTTTTCTCTTTACCTCTGAGAATTGTTTGTGCTGGTTATAGATTTCCAGGTCAGTATTTTTTTTAAGTACTTTAAATATTCATCTATCTTGCATCATTTGGACAAAGTCTCATGTCTTATCACTTTTTCCATTATATGTAACTTTTTAAAATTTTTTCAATATCACTAATTAAGCAAATTGATTATATTGTGCATTTATTTTCTTTAAGAATTTCTTTTTCCTAGTTTGATGTTAATACTTTTTTTTTTTTTAAATCAGGCATTGAACCCAGGGGGTCAATGTGACACAGGGTCACATCTCTAGTCCTTTTTTAAATCTGAGACTATTTCTATTGGTTAATTACTGCCTCTTTCACTGTTGGTTATGTTTTCTTTATCTTTTTAATTTTTGAATGGATGCTGGAAATTTTACTGTTGGTTCTTGCATTTTTTAAAAAAAATATTTTTTTCTCCTGAACTGCTATTGATTACTTTGAATCATGACCTTAAACATTTATAGATGGACTCAGAACAGCCAAATCACATGAATACAATTTGAGTATTCTTTCTGGCAGGTATGAACAAGAACTATTAATGAGATCAAAAGATTTTTCTGCCTGCTCTTTTTGAAGGTACTTGTCCCCAACTTTGGTAGTTTCTTGACATATAAGTTCTGCTCAAGACTCAAGTGAATACTAGAGCACCATTCTTTGGAGCTCTTCTCAAGGAAACTTTCTCCTCTGTCATACTATAAATCCTGAATGAAAGCCACTTCATCAAGATTCTTCATGACAAGATGATGATAAAGTATTTGATGGATTATTATTGGGTAAATATAGCTTATTTTTATGTGGATTACTAGAAATTTACCTCCATTTCTGGAAAATAGTTCTAAGTGCCCAGCTTTCTGATGGTCTCAGGTTATGCTGTCTAATTGGCAGGTACTAATCACACATAGCTAAATTGTAATAACAAATACTTGCACTCGGCATATAGCAACCCTTTAATAGACACTAGCCACATACTGAAAGTGCCATTATGTTACACTGAAAAGCATAACCAAGATCATACAATATCTATAAATGATGAAAATAGTACAATTTAGAGAGTTGAATCTGTTTCAAGTTTACTTGTAAGACAGAGATAGAACAAAGGTTATCTATCATAGGTTAAAAAATTAATTTAAATTGATAAAATCCAGGCATTAATTAAATGAACCTGAAAGAATAAATTCTGTGGTGATTCAATAAAGCTTCCCTGTACAATAAAACTATGAAATCAAGGAAGAATGTTTAGATGTGAGACATGAAGATAAGTCATCTAGAGAAAAGTGGTAAAGATCACACGGTAAGTTTTATGAAACCCATAACATCAAATGACCTTCACACAATACTGTGTAAAAAGATCACATAACTATTGACATTGATGAACATTGCCAACAGTACCTACCATGTGAAATAAAACACCTTATCCATTCACAACCATTAATTGCCTTAATTTAAATATGCATTGCATCTATACATACACTCCCATATCTTAGGAATTAAGATTTTGTTGTAATGTCAAAAATATTCTGTACATTCCAGGTTCAGGGAATAAATAAAACAACTTAAAATTCTCCAAAACAAAATGTAATATGGTAGAATATAAATGCTTAAGAAAACCAAGTGGGTATGAGACAGTCTGTAATAAGAATCAAGGGTATAAAAAAGAACAATGCTTTGTTATTCTGTTCCTTTCTCCCAAGAAAAGCCACTTGATTAATAACACCTATAAAAAAATTCATTCACTAAAACATGTCCGAACTTTAAATCTAGCAGCAGACTGAATTCATTTTCTTTTTTTATAGCTTAATTTATTATCTCTTACCCAGCATTAAACTTTTACAAAAGTACCAAAGCATTCCTTATGATTTTCTGTGATACTGATTAAAATAAATAAGGTTGTAAAATAACAGCATTGCCCCCAATATTTTTTAATGGCATTTTAAAATAATTTTCAGAAGTATTTGCACAATTTGTAAAAGCAATGTTGTACATAAAATAACTATTTAGGGTTAGTCTAATGTCTGTTTTTGCTAAACACGTTAGCATCTTAAAAAGTATCATGCACTTGAAAACATTAGTTATTAGCTACTGTATTCTCTGCTAACACCTTCTCACCACCTCCAGCTTTCCTCTATCAGGTTCCCTCTTTCCCTTTAATCTTTAACCATCCCCCACTCCATTTCTCCAACCCTCCCCCAGCTCTTACTTGACTGGCTTCTCTTCCTCCACTTAAAACTAAACTATGGATGGGTGACATCACTAAGTGGCTGGTGCACTTCCCTTCACAACAAAGGTCCAAACCAAGGGGTAAAAAAACCCAGCTATTTTGTTGGCATGTTTGAGGCAAAGTATCAGAGGACAGTAGGGATGCGTCAGAGATATTGTGCAGCATGGAGATACACATGATGGTCTTAAAAAGAAGGAAACTAAGTGTATAGCACCTGTCACATCTTAGACATCAACACTGAACCAAGAGGAACTTCAGTTGGTTGGGAAAGGCCGAAGATCCCCAGCAATCCCCACTCACATGGATAGCTGCTGGAGAAGCCTGTGGCTCAGTCTGGGGAGCTGAGTTACCACATGGCTGCATTCACCTGCCTGTAACATGGGAAACGCTTGCAGTGTCCATCAAAAGCGTTATATGACCCATCCTCCAACTCTGAAAGGAGCTTGGCAGACATCTGAGTAGTTTGTCCCCTGGAGCCCCTCAAAAGACACTGATGCACCCCCCAGAAACCGACAACCAATCACTCTACTACCAGACACGCCATACCCACCTGTGCCCACAGTGATGGCTTTACCCTGACATGACACACAGGAGCTCCATACCCAGAGCCAGATCCAGTGCCCAGAGCTGTGAACAAACCAGCCTTGCCTAAGAGCTGCATCCCAACAAGTAGTTCATACTTTCTGAAGGAATCTAGATTTGATGTAATCCTTATCAATATACCAATATGCTCTTCAGATAAGCAGAAAAAAACATGCCTAATATTTGTAGACCAATAGATCCTGAATAGAAAAAACAAATCCAGGGCAAAAATAACAAAGCTAAAGATGTTATATATAGTACCTGACCTGAAAACATAGTACAAAGCTAGAGTAACCAGAGCAGTATGGTTGCTTGCATAAATAGATTGGAAAAATAGCGTCTTTTTAAACAATAGTGCTGGGAAAATTGGATATCCATATGCAAAAGAACAAAATTAAACCTCTACACCATATATAAAAACCAACTCAAAATGGACCAAAGACTTGAATTTAAGGCCTAAAACTATGAATCTACTAGAGGAAAATATAGGGTTCAAAACATTTCAGAATTTTGGTCTTGACAAAGATCATTTTTGGTAGGATCCTAATAGCACAAATAACAAAAGCAAAAATTGACAGGGATTACAACCTAAAAAGTTCTATAGATCAAAGTGAAAGGACAAACTGTGGAATGGAGGAAATATTTATAAGTTATTCATGTGATTAATTTCTAAAGGAAATTAAGAAATACAAAAATTAAAAATCTGATTAAAAAATTGTAAAATGGGCAAATGACCTGAATATACATTTAACAAGAAAGTTAAACAAATGGCCTACACATGAGAAAGTACTCAACATTGATGATCATAAGGAAAATGCAAAAACAAAACCACAATGAGATATCTCACACCAGTTGTCAAAAACACAAAAATTAACATAGTGAATATGTGGAAAGAGGAGACCTCTCAAACATTATGGGTGAAAATGGAGATTAGTACAACCATTATAGAAAATACTATGAAGATTCCTTGAAATATCAGAAATAAAACCGCCCTACAATCCAGCAATCCTACTACACGTATACATACACAAAGAAATTAAAATCTGCACTCTCATGTTTGTTTGAACACTATTCATAATAGCCAAGATATGGAATCAACCTGGGTGTCCACTGGTGAAGAAACAGATAAACTGTAATGTAAACATAGAAGGGAATATTATTCAGATATTAAAAGAATAATTGTGTCATTTGCAACAAAATAGATGGAACAGGAGAGACATGCTAAATGAAATAAGTCAGACACAGAAAGACAAACACCACATGTTTACACATATGTGGAAGATAAAAAAGCTGATCTCAAAAGAAGTAGAGAAAAGAAGCATGGTAACTAGGGCCTGGGGAAGGTGTAGGGGAGGGAAAGAGGGAGGGAATGGACAGTGGGCATAGGGGTGCAGTAACCATATGTTCTTTAACATGATAGGATAACAATGATGACAATAATTAATTAAATACCCCAAAACAGCCAGAAGAGAGGATTTTGAATGTTTCCAACAGAAAAATATAATAGTTATTTCTTCTATTGTGATCAATACACATTATACGCATATTGAAGTGTCACTACACCTCATAAATATGTACAATTACTGTGTCATAAAAATATGTTCTAGAATTCCATCAACCCTTTCTCCTCTTGATAATATCTACTCTGAAAAATTTCTCTCATTCTTACATATTAAAATACTTCATCTCCTTCCTACATTTTCCTAAAGCCCAAATCACCAATGCTAGCCTAGATTTTTCTTCTGATTCTTTAATTAACCTAGAAGTATGTCAAACCAATCGTGCAAAGTAAAATTTAATCATCTTCCCTTCTCTTAACAAAACATACTACTCCTCACTAATTTTTGGTACCAGTTAATAAGACCATCTCTCCAAATTCTATTGCTTGTTCTCACAAAGAATGAGAAATTATATTTGTTTAAGACCTTAAAAATCTCTTGACCAATTACAATAGCTTCTTTTTCTCTCTAAACTTACACCAATCCAAGTTTCCATATTAGAAACATAATTTGTCTTGTTGAATGATCTTTTTAAAATGACAAACTATGTCCTCCTCCCTCATATCCAACACATCCTCGAAACACCTCAATGGTTACTTCTAGAATTGGGTCTGAAGACCTCTGTTAGGCATTCAAGGACATTATATTTATACTTTTTATTCCCTCAGAAATGTTCATAGCCCTATTGTTTCTGTTATTTCATCCTCCAGTTGATATTTCATATGTCTCCATCTCCCTTAAAAGGCACTGCTTATCTTTATGTCCCCAGTGAATACCCACTGTTTGATTTCTATTGTTGATGTTGTTATTGAAACCACAGAGCCTTTTACACCCTTTTGCTTAAGTAATGAGAAATTTTTGAACAAATCACTTAGTTGTCTTACTACTGTAGCCTAGCATACAAAATAGGCTACCCCTCACCCCAGCCAACCCATGGTTTATGGAGCCAAGGCCAAACAAAAGAAGAAAATATGGCAAAATCTAACATATCTGGATATATATATATATATTAATTAGACATATATAACACTACATCTCTACTTCTGGGAGTAATCTGAAAGTGTACAATACATTATATTCATAGCTTCCTATTTCAAGAGTTTCTGTGAAAATAGTTAATGTATGATTAATTGAGGTCACATAATTTTGATGTAATCACAAAACTCTGCTTAAAGAAGCAAAATTAGGAAAGGTAGCAGAACACAACAGACACTAGTATGGCAATATGTAAATCAATGGATGTGTAATTGATGTGATTCTGCAATCTGCATATGGGCAAAAAATGGGAGTTCATAATCCACTTGAAGCAAAGTGTGAAATATGATATATCAAGAACTATGTAATGTTTTGAACAACCAACAATAAAAAAAAAGAAGCAAAATTAGTCATGTGAAAACAAGGTTAGTAGATAGAACAGTTGTGAGGCTTAAAATCTCATTGTTTTTAAAGTTTAGAAAATCACAACTCTTTTGGATCATATCAGAAACAGAATACTGCAGCACTTCCAAGAAGGAAAAAAGAAAAATAAGGGAAAGCTATTTCTTTAAGAATATTTTTAGATTTAAGTGGATCAATAATAACTAGGCAGTTAAAATCATTGCCAATAACTGTTTATACTTACCTGATTATTATACGCATCAGGTGCAAGTTGCTTGTATATTGGTGCGATAAGAGTTGACAGGTTTTGAAAATAAGCCTCTAGTTTCTCTTCCTGTATAAAATAAACCATTTGACATTAAATTCTAAATCTATTCTCTACACATAAGAATGCTATTAGTTATATTATTGCCCCAAATACTGGACACAAAACAATGATTGGTGCCTTTCTTATCAAATAACTAAATCATCTTAAAGTATGGACACATCCAACATCACCTATTTTTGTGCTATGAATTAAGTAGCTATTTGGATTTTTTTGTTATATTAACTGAATTTCTAGTAGGCATGTAGATAGTTGATGTTTTACATATGCTATGCTACCCTATGCTGTGGGGGGGAGGGTAGGTTAAGGAAGCCAGATATTATAATGGGGTCACATTTCCACAGTCATCCTCCAATTATTTATTGAAAGGATTTGTTTGGTTTACTTTGTCTATTCTCAATCTCTATTTTATAGGGTTTATAAAGAGCAAGTCAAGCTTTGCTCCAAAGAAAAAAGTACTGAGAACTTCAATTGTGGATAAAATTCTCAGAACTAGAATGTGTTTTCTATGAAAAAGCTGACAAAGTTTACTTGACAAAGGAAATGCTAACTTATAATCCTACCATCCAAGTTCATGAAGAACAGATTTTCCAAATAATATGCTTTTAAAAATGGTAGGTGATAATACTTGGTTATTTCATTCAAACCTAGAAGTTCTCATTTCAGATTATTGTGAGGGGCATTGTGGTGGGGGGAGGGAGAGAAAGAAACAGGGAGTGACAGAGAGATATAGACACTTGACAGAGAGGTGAACTTTAGAAGGTGGGCAGTTTCTGTGCAGAGCTTGAGAGGAGGGGGTTTCCCAGGCATCTTCTGGATTGGGTTGACATGCAAATTGCTTAAAGTGATAAACGTGTATGAACTAGCCATGAAAAACTTTCAGAGTGGAAAACTGCTACTTTTTATCAAGTGTACTAAACACTTTCTCCTCTTATCAAACAAAAGAGGATGCCCAGCATGCTTAAACATTATATTATTGAATACATGACTGTTTGAAAAATATACCATGATTGAATTTTATGTTCACTTACTATATATTCAAATAAAACTTTTAAATTATAAGAACAACCCCTCTGGTGTTTAAAAGGCATCTATTATATAAGTGTATATTTTAATTGTCTTTAAAATCTGAAAGATAAGGTAGAGGAAGTGAAAGGAAAACTTTTTTTCATATTCAAATGCTAAACATATTGAGGGTTTTCTAATCTTTTAATTAGAAATTATATTTTAATTTCAACAAGAAATCAAGGTTCATTTGACTTACCTGAGATGAAATTCCCTTTGCTAATGAGACTATAACAATATATATCACAATTTACTTTACCCATGCTCATCAATTTCCTAGAATGAATAGTTTATAATCAGGAAATAAACCAACCTCTTTTGGATCATCCCCAAGTAGCTTAAATTTCCTTGGAATCTTGCTTCTGGCAAACTTGCATCCATTATAATACATACTCCATGAACAACCAAAAGAAAAGGAGGCACCACAGGTCTTTGGATCTAGCCCCTGACAGGCACAGGTTCTCCTAAAAAATTAAAGGACCAAGTTCAAGACAATGAACAGCATTACCTAGGTTGCCAATCTCATAATCTGGATGTGTATATACAAAATGAATTTGAAAATAAGTCTAATAACTATTAATCTGAGGTATAATCACACCCATAACAGAATAATCTCAATTGACTTTAAAACACAATTTATGGGTGAATTATTCTATCACACTGTTGCATGTAGTTGTACTTAGTTTTCATTGAATACCATATTCCATTTTGTAAATATGCCACAAATTAGCTAAATCTACCCTTGATGGGAATTTGAGTGCTTTAGAGTGTTTAGCTAAAAGCATACTATTACAATTGTAACAGCCCGGGTCAGATATATTTTAATAACAGTAAACAAACAATCCAAAGTATAAACAATAAAACAACCTAGAAAACGGGACTTACGTAGTCTTATGAGTATTAATATTATTTTGACATTACTCTGTGTATAGTGATATAAAGAATTAATTGCTTAATGTAAATAATCTTTACTAGAGATAGGGAAAAAATAATATAAACCCATGATTTGAATTAAAAACTTTTGTTTCTAAAAAATAATTACTTCATGTGTCTGCCCAGTAAAATGACATCTTAGTAAAAAAGTGCACATGTAGATATATTGTGATTTCCAATAAAATGTATATAGGTTATTTTTAAGAATTTGTCACTGATGACCCTAAGCAACCAAACAGATGGTAAGGAAAAGTTTTTTTCATTTATTAGTGTTATTTCTATTAATTTATTAGAATTTCAGCTAATAAATGCAGGAGAAATTACACAAATAAACAGAAATTCCAATATGTTCACAAAAATATCAGAATAAGGATCTTTGAAAATTCCTCCATAAAGGAGATGAGTACTGGAAAAATTTATCATAATCAACTTTTTCAGAAATCTGGAATTAATAAAAATCTTATAGCAATATACAGTGTGTTAATTAAACAATAGGAATTGGGGCTGTAAATCAGTGGTAGAAGGCTTACCTAGCATGAAAGAGGCCCTGAGTTTGTTTCCTAGCATCACAAAACCAAACAAAAGCACCAGAATTTCACTAAGAGTCAGCTTTGTGGTGTTTGAACCTTCCCTATTCTCATTCTCCCAAGGCAGCTTTAAAAAACAGCCCATTTAATTTCATGATGAAAATCAATCAGGCTGGCACTAGGTCACCAAATGAGTTATATAACCTCTAAAGATCCATTCCCAGAATGTTGACATTATTTCACCTGCTTAGTAGTTCCTAGGAAGAACTCACTAATAAGGTTATCTTTATTTAATATGATGTGGAGCTCACTTAATATGAATAGATTTTTCCCATCTGAAGGCATTTGTTGAAAATAATCAGAGGCAACTGTTGAATACTGGCATTGCCTGACATAGTAACAGCAAAAAAAAATAACGATAACCAAAAAAGGTTACAAGTAAAATTGGAGATCCAGGTATAGTTCAGTGGTAGAGTGCATGCCTACCTAGCTTTCACAAAGCCTAGGGTTTGATCTCCAACACTTAAAGAAAAAGTAAAGCATGGAAAATTAGGTGTTCATAGCTTTAAAACGTTCCAATATATTCCTGGGAATATGGAAAGCCATATGCACACATGGTAGGGTTCTTTGCATGATCACAAAAGACCCGAGGAAGCCTCAAACCTCATCACCATCTAATCTTGAGACCCTACACAAGCAGAAATCGAAGGGTAACACAGTATCGTAAACATCTTGGCTATGTGTTGAATGCCTGCCCTACCACACATAAAGACTACTACAGCAAACACTGACTTATTGGATTTAGGCACCTAAGAAAATGTCTAACCATTAACTGGCTACTAAGCTGACCAAACCGAGACATCATAGTTACACAAGAAAGAGAATACAAGGTTTACAGAAACAATACAAAACCGTCATAAGGCAAATAAACAGAAATCAGAACTAATTCATGGGATGAAGGGTAGTGATATTTCCAAAATTACATTATTCTAAAATGTCCAGTTGTAACAAATAAGGTACGTACAAAGAAACAAAGTATAAGTCATACTGAGGAATAAAATTTAAAATGTCCTGGGGATGTCCACTAGACCAATACTTTATATCATCTATTTCAACTATGTGCAAAGAACTAAAGAAAACTGTGTTGCGGTAACTAAAAGGAAAGTAGAAAAACACTGTTGCCTACCATTTATTGATTCTTGATTTTAATTTTTGCACCAAAGGAATCTTATTAAGGAAGTTGGGGCCTAATCCCACATGATGAAGATTAGGGCCTACTTTTTCTTCTACTCGACACAGAGTCTCTGGTTTTATTCCTAAGTCCTCGATCCATTTTGATTTGAGTTTTGTTCATGGTGAGAGAGAGGGGTTTAATTTCATTTTGTTGCATATGGATTTCCCAGCACCATTTGTTGAAGAGGCTATCTTTTCTCCAATGCATGTTTTTGGTACCTTTGTCTAATAAAGGATAATTGTAATTTTGTGGGTTAGTCTCTGTGGCCTCTATTCTGTACCATTGGTCTACCAGTCTGTTTTGATGCCAATACCAGGCTGTTTTTGATACTATTGCTTTGTAGTTTCTTCTTAGCAAAAGAAACAATCTGTGAGGTGAATAGAGAGCCTACATCCTGGGAGCAAATTTTTACCCCTCACACATTATATAGAGCACTAATATCTAGGGTATATAGAGAACTCAAAAAGTTAAACAACAAACACAAAAAAACACAACCAATCAATAAATGGGCCAAGGACCTGAACAGACACTTCTCAGAAGACGATATACAATTAGTCAACAAATATATGAAAAAATGTTCATCATCGCTAGCAAGTAGAGAAATGCAAATCAAAACTACTCTAAGATTTCCTCTCACTCTAGTCAGAATGGCAGCTATTATGAAGACGAATAACAGTAAGTTGGCGAGGATTGGGGTAAAAGGTACAGTCATATACTGCTGGTGGGACTGCAAATTGGTGCAGCCAATATGGAAAGCAGTATGGAAATTTCTTGGTAAATTGGGAATGGAACCACCATTTGACCCAGCTATCCCTCTCCTCAGTCTATACCCAAAGAACTTAAAAATAGCATACTACAGGGACACAGCCACATCAACGTTTATAGCAGCACAATTCACAATAGCTAAACGGTGGAGCCAATCTAGATGCCCTTCAACAGATGAATGGTTAAAAAATAGGGCATATATACACAATGAAATATCACTCAGCAATAAAATTTAACAAAAAGGAAAAATACTGTCTCATAAAAGAGATGGGGAAGAAAACCCCACAGAAGCTGATATAATAATATATAATACAAATTGAATTCTGGAGCTAAAAAGTATAAAGTGAAAAACTCGTTAGAGAATTAGCAGATCTGAACAGGAGGGAAGAGGAGGGAAGGATCTTGAAGCTACATCAAATGAAATATTTATTTATTTTTGCTTTTGAGTTTTTGGATTGAATAAAAGAATGAAACAGAGCCTTGGAGAGGTGTGGGACACTAAACTGTAGGGACATATATATCATGGGAGTCCTAAAAGTGTTGGAGCAAGAGTAAGGAAAAGAGAAATAATGATTAAAAATTTCCAATGTTTGTGAACATTAATCAACATGTTCAACAAGCTCAACTATTTCTATAAAGCATAAACTCAAAGACAGCCTTGCAACAGTATAAACTGCTGGAAGCCAAGACTAAAGAGAAAATCTCAAAAGCTGCAAGAGACTCATGTATGAGGTAGTCACAGTAAGATCAACAGTTGATGACCCATCAGAAACAATAGAGACCAAAAGGCAGCAGATTAAATATCAACACAAGGGAACTTTAGATAGGACTAAGAAGCTCTGGTTTACTACTGCACAGTAAGGTGAATATGAATAACAATCATACAGTATCTATCTCAAAAGACTAGTAGAAAGTATTGTGAATGTTTTTACCATAAAGAAATGACAAATGTTTGAGGTTATACATTTGCTTAACCTGTTTTAACCATTGCACGATGTATAATGTATCAAACATCAAATGATATATTTAAATATACAAATTTTGTTTTTATGTATCATTTATAAATTAAAGTGCTACCAGTAAAACACTATAAACAAAGCATTTTATATCTAGAAAAACTATCCTTCAGAAATGGCTAATAAATTAAAATATACTGTAATAAACTAACATTTTATTGTTATCAGGTATGCCCTACAAAAAATCCTGAATCCTTCAGGGTGCAAGGAAATAACACTAGGCAGAAACCTGAATTGTATCCAAGAACTTGAAGAACACTGGTAAAGGCAATTACATAAGGAAATAGAAAGCCAGTGTGTTTGTGTATGTGTGTCTGCATATTTAAAAATACTTTTTATCCTATCTTATTTAAAAACAATTGCATAAAATAATAATTTAAAAACTATGTTAATGTATTTATACAACATATAAAAAAGTAACTTGACCAGGCACGCTCGTGCATGCCTGTAATCCTAGCTACTCAGGAGGAGGAGGTAGGAGAATCAAAAGTTCCAGGTTAGCCTCAAGAGAGACTTAGTGAGACCCTGTCTAAAAAAATAAAAAGAACTAGAAATGTAGCCCAGTGGAAAAGTGTCCCTGGGTTCAATTCCAACATGAGAAGAAAAATTACTTCTATGATGTAGGAACAAGTTTTCCTTTTATTACTGTAACTAATTGGTATTATTCCAAACTTAGCTGTTATGTAGTTAATTCCATGGTCATAAGAAAATGACTCCAACAAATATAGAAAAAGAAATAAAAAGGGAGCTAAAATGGTACACTAGAAAATATTTACTGAACACAGAAAAGGCAGTAACAGAACAACAGAGAAATAAAAAGGCAGACGTAAATTCTACCTTATCTGTATTGATATTAATGCATATAGAATAAATGCAATTAAAAGGCAGACACTGGCAAATAGACCTTTATGTGACCTAATTATATGCTGTTTATAAGAGAAACACCTTAGTTTTGAATACACACATAGGTAAAAGTAAAAGGACTTTCC